GAGATTCTGCAAAGATGCAACAACAAAGGGAGAGAGGAACAGAGACGTGCGTAGTCACGAATCGCCCCCCTCTCTGGGCTCTGTCTTCCCTTTCCCTCCTCTCTTGCCTGACTGGAGGAAACACTCAGATTGCAGTGTGGAGGTGATGCAGTCCAAGTGAGGGGTGAGGTGAGGGCGGGCAGCGCTGCCCCTTCTGAAGCCTGTTAGAAAATTTTAGAGGCAGTTAGCAGAGCGCCTTGACGTGTTTCCAGACCCTCGCAGCGGGGCCCTTTCCTTCGGCAGTTGTTCTCTGCTCGGCTGGCCCCGGCTGAGGTCTCGAAGCTTCCTTGAGCGTGGCCCCCTGTCATGTCAGCCCGCTGGCCTTACAGTGTTACAGGGCAGCCCAGAGTGGACTGGGCCGCCTGTCTGTGGGGCCTCACCCGCGCGCTCGCAATTCGGTTATACTGCAGGGACACACAAAAGGATCAATAACAGATTTATTTACAAAAGGGGAAAGGAAAAGAAAACAACCCAGGGAAAGAGAGCGGGATACAAAGTCACTGGAATACCTTACGGCTAGGCTGACTGAACACACCGAGTCACGCGGCCCAGAGAGCCGTTTCCGAGTGAGAGCAAGAGACACAATCACACCCTTTATCCCCCAAATGTCCCAGAATTCCTGCTAGCTCCGCCCTTGGGACCTCGCAGTTCTCTCCCTGGTACTGCTGGGAGTTGTAGTTTCCAGTCACTGGAGTAGGGTCCAGAAAGCTGGAGTAAGGGGTGGAGTCCATAAGACTGCGGAGTTCCTTTAGGACATCCTTCCCCTTAACAAGAGGATGATAGCTTCAGAGCCCCTGGGGGCCAGGGCACGCGAGACAGGCCTGGCCTCGCCTTTTACATGGGTGACGCTGCTGCCAAAGTTGGGTCTCTGAACAGGCCTTCCTATGTGAAGTTGTAATGGGGATCAGAGACCGAGGTGAGGCCCCCCTCTTTCTGAGAGAAGCAATTACAATTCTGTCTGTTCTCTTCAAAGAGAACCGCAGCAAATCAAAATCAATTGAGGCCCAAACACTTATTTTTAAATAATTTCTGAAGGACACCTAGGACACGTTTTGCTCGGCCTTTGAAGTTTGGGGCCAGTTTCGCCTCCCGCGACAATGACTGTGTGTTCCAGAAAGCGGGCTCTTGAAAGCATTTTCTGACGGTGTTTTCACAAATGCTGCACCACAGCGAGGATGGCTTTGTTTTACTTACTCAGGATTAGTTTGAACTTTCTGTTTTCAATGAGCAGACGCTCTGGGGAGAGCTCGCCACCAAAGTGCTTTATCAAGGAAGGAGGTTCCCTCAGCGCTAACCCTGTTCTCTCCAAGCATACACACACAAACCTGGAGGCAAAATGAATATCCAAGTATGAATACCTTCACACGTCTCTTTCAGATACCTCTTTCCTTCAGGAAACTGGAATTCACAGAATTACACTTTCAAAGCTAAATGATAATTTGGAAGTCATTCAAACAAGGCCTGTCCTTTGGAGATGAGGAAGCAGAGCAGGGCTAGGCAGGCCTGAGGTGAGCCTGTAACCCTGGTGCAGACTGGAAGGAAGCGCCAGTTTTCAGCTGCTGCTTGGTCCTGCTCTGGCCTGAGCCCATATGAAATGTCTCCCCCAATTTTGCACCAGGGTGTCTCACAGCCTCACCCTGGTCCTGGCGCCTCACCTAGCCCTGTCCCCAGGGCTACTTGTCCGGTAACTCGGGGCTGACTCTCTTTTCCCCAACTGTTGTCCTAAAATTTGAAAGTTTTAGAGCCCTCCCTGGTGGCACTGTGGGTTAAAGCATAGCACTACGAAGCTAACTGAGGCTGCTATGGCGTGAGTTCGATTCCTGGCCAGGGTAGTGACCCACATGGCGTGGCAGACCTCTCCTGACGTGCCCGCTGCTCCCCTCAGCAGTGAGTGTATTTCAGTATATCTGCCTGTTCTGCTCCCCACTCTGTCTCTGGTGAATCTTCTCACTGCCCCTGCACCTCTGGCCGTATCCCAGTTCTGTATGCATAAATACATAAATCTTTTTATAAATTTTGAAAGTTTTATCACATCTAGGACAGGATTCTTTACAAGCAGTTGGCTAAATGAGAATATTGTTTCCTCTGTGGGAATGCTGTTGTCTTCTAGCAGCTTCTCATAAACTGTTAATTCCCTTCCACAGGAACCTGGTGACTTGACATCAGAGAAGCTGTCAGAGTCTCAGCCGATGTCTCCCCTGGACCTCCACACACTTGAATCCAATGTGGAGGACACCAGCGCTGACCTTGGAGGCCATGGTATGTGTTTGTATCAGTCCTCGCAGGGAGCGGGGAGGCAGGTCCCCGGAGGCCCGGTGGCCTCTGAGAGAAGCCTTGAGCATATCCACCTCCAGGCTGGAGCTGGACTGCGACCAGGGTGGAGAGCAGACAGCCTGGGGTTTGTCTATCCTCACTCATCGTCTTTGTAATGGTGAAGATGAGTCGAAACGGGCTGGCGAGGGCGCACTAGATCCAGCCTGGGACCCGTGATGCCATCAGAGACCTGACTTGGGGCCGGTGAAGACCCCTCTCCTGCCGATGCTCTCCCTGGCCTGCACACATTTAAAGTGAAGAAATGAGGTCAGACTTGGAAACATCAGCTATTTGAATGTGCAGTCGTGGTCAGAAGCATACAGGTGCTCAGAGCCCTCGCTCAGGTTGGGGAGCCTCCACCCTACTGGCCAAAGGGTGAGCTGTCGAGGAAAACCGACCAGGAATTCCGGCAGCCTCACCGCTCTACAACTCAGTCTGCTCGTCCATAAAGCGAGAAGAAATTCGCCCTGCAAGGGAGAGACGAAGCGGCTGCCAACGGAACCGGCAGCTCCACTTCCGGCCACGACTGCACATACAAATAGTTGATGTTTCTAAGTCTGACCTCATTTTTTTCACTTTAAATGTATGCAGGCCAGGGAAAGAATAGGCAGGTGTGTTGTACAAAGCAAATGAGGACACACATGTGACATGCTCTTGATCGGTGCCCAGCACAGCCAGGGCTAAAGCAAGGAAGGCAATGACGGCCCTGGGGGGAGGGGGTTCTCCAGTGGGAGTCTCCCCTGCCCAGCGTGCTCCCACCACCTCGAACGAGGTGTCAGGGGCAGGCACGCAATGAATCTCTGTCTTTTTTTTAGATTTACTTATTTATTTATGCATTTACAAGAACTGGGGTACAGAGGCGCATGGGGCCGGGGGGTGAGAGGACCCACCAGAGAGCAGAGAGAGGAGCAGAACAGGCAGATTCACTGAAAACACTACTGAGGGAAGCAGCGAGCCATCCAGGAGAGGTCTGCTGGGCCTTGTGGGTCGCCTCCCTGGCCAGAGATTGAACTCATGCTCCAGTGGCTGCAGATAGCCTCCTCGTGCTGTGCTTTAACCTGTTGGACCACCAGGCAGGGCTCTAAATATTTCTTGAGCCAATGAATGAGTGGATTAAGAGAGGAAGCCGCACATCGGGATACTGAAGGGCTGGGCTCGCATCAGGAAGTCTTGGCCCAGCTCCCGGTTTAAAACAGGAAAAGCACTTCTTGTTTATTCCGTAGGTAAGGAGCCAAAGGCGTTAAGAACTTTGCTCAGGGGCTCAGAGCTCCAGAGTGCTTCCATTTCCCCAATCTCTACCTGCAAGGGGTGATGGGAGCCACAGAATTGGACTTCCGACAGGAAATTTGTGTGTTCTTGTGCTCGTTTTTTGTGAACTGTAGCAACTAAATTTCTCCTAAGCTGTCTCGGACCACAGGTGCCAGCGGCAGGCTCCACTGGCGTCTGCCTCGCCTCTCCCTGTTGCCCTGGGCTTGCTTAGTCTCCAAACTGGGAATCAGCGCCATGCCTCTGCTGCCTTTCCCCGCTGTGAGGAAGCACCACCTGGGCGCTGGAATGAGCTGGGCGATCGAAAGAACACAGCGATTTTATCTGGATCAGATGCCTTGTAAAAAATTTTAAACATTTCCCTTCTTTTTCCCTTTCTGTGCATCCACACTTTCCACATTCTACTTCCTCAGCTTTAAACTGCGAAGGGGGGACCGTAGAGGGAAAGCACAGCCTTTGGCTTGACGCTTGATTAGAATGACGGGTAGCTGCGAGATGATTCACGATCACATAGCTTAATCATGAAGCTTTGAGAAACGAGACTATAATTTGGTGATGAGTGCTGAACTGGTTAATTATTTGCCACATTCTGTTTGCCTTTTAGCAGATTTGACTCTAAGCTTTCAGCATCCAGGAGGTTTGGGTTTTTGTTTTGTCTAGCATGTATATGTAAACTAAAATCACATAGTCATTTTTTTTTTTCGCCTCCGAACACTAAATGTTTAATCAGCCTTTGATGCTGACTTGGAAAATTCCCTCTGGGATGTGAGGAGTTAGTTGCAGAGAAAGAAGACAGGGTAACACATTATTTACATTTGCTCTGCATTTAGTTGATTTGGCTGACTGAGTCTAGCCAGAGCGATGGATAACCACTATAATCGAATGAGAAAGCGCACTAGAACCGGAAAGAAATTCTCCCTGTCTAACTCCCCGTACATGATGCTGATGATTTCTTGCACATTTTTACCAGGCACTTCCTTGCACTCTCACTTAATTTTCAGCCCCTCACAGCTGAATTTCAGGAAGTGTCTCTGGCAGAGCTGGCGGAGCCCGAGACTCACGGGCCCAGGCCCTTCCAGAGGGTGGCTCTCAGCGGTCCAGAGGGGGACACCTCACAGGAGCCTTGGCGGCCACAGTAGCTAATATTCTTTGTCACTCATGCCTAACAGCAATTTCCACTGTCTTCTCTTTCTCTCCTGCTTCTAAAGGAAAAAAAAAAAAAAACCTAAATAGAAAACCCACAAACAGATCCAAAATGATTGTCATGTCTCATAATAGTATGCCTGTGTGTGAGCACTGTAATGGATTTTTCTAGAAACGGCAGTGTGTCACATCTGTCTGCAGGTGGTGTATTGCTGATGCCCATACTTGCAGCTCCGAGCCTACAGGACAGGTTCTTCATGCCGTCATCTTACTGCGCTATCGCTGGTGCCCACATGGCGGGTATTTTGACACGTGTCACGGGAACGTACACACCAGCCTCACAGCTGACCTTGAGTGTCCTCTCCTGCCACCCTTGGGCTGCCTACATCTCTCTTTTCTGGCCATGGTTCCTTTAAATTATTAATGGAAGTTTTTCCTTACTATTAAAGATTAGCCAGCTAAGCACACATTTGTGGGAGAGCTTCAGATGCTTGGAGTCGTTCACGGCAGTTTGCACCTGGGCATTTGGGGTTGTAGACATCAGTGACTTTACCCTTTTGATATCGCAGATTAATTTTCCCTTTCAAATGTAGGCAAAATGAACACGCACAGCCTGGCTCTCCGGCTTAACTCCACATGGCTCGTTTTCCTCCTTTCAAATAGCACAGAATTAAATGACCTGCCTTCCTTCCCTCATCCTGCACCTCGCCACAGCCCCATTTTGAGATACAATAATCTAACAGCTTGCAGAAGCAGTTGCCGAAGAACATATGGTCTCTGGTTCTATATATTTGGTCTCCTTTTATTTGCAAGCTGACACATTTCGAACAAGACTAACCTTTCTGTGTTCCTGGTGTTCTGGATGAGAAATCTTAATAATATGTGTGAGAGGACTAGAAATTAACTACCAGTTACTTAAGAGGATGAGCAGGCTTTGCGATTTTCTAACTCCCCTCAGCCCCATTTGCTCTGTGCTATTGATAAAGCGAATGAGTCAGTGCCTGGACTGTGCAGGTGTGTTCACAGGCCACATTCTCACCTGTCCTGAGGGATTCCATCACCCTTTCCAGCCATCTGAGGTCATTCTCAATTGCACTTCTCTTCACTCTCAGTAAGTCTCTCCTGCAATCACTGATCTCTCTCAGCTCAAAATCCCAGCGGGAGGCCTCATGTAAATGTTCCCATTACACTGCTGCTGCCCCCTGAGCAGCACTGGCCAGAGGGGAGTGTCCCAGGACAGCGACTAAGAGCCATGAGCAGGCCCCTGGTTACTCAAGGCCTGCTGGGAGGACCGGCTTCCCTTGCATCCTGAGAACTTGCCAGAAATACCGAGTCTCACACCCACTGCTAGACTGCCCGGAGCAAAGCTGGCCTTTCACGTGCCTGATTCATGTGCACAGTCAAGTGTGAAAGGCACTGAGCCGATTCTGAGGTCAGGGGGAGAACGGCCCTGCCTGTCTGCCCCCTTGTTTTATTTCTACCTGCTGGCACGGTGACTGGCTTGGAGGGGAGGCTTGGTAAATGTTTGCTGAATGTATGACTCAGTGGGGGAAAGCTGCGAAGAACACTGATGCATTTTGTCATAAACAGCATACTTTTGGGGGATGAGACGAAGTCACTGGGGAAACAGCGGAATAACAAGATGCCAGAGAGGCTAATTTGTGAGCATTGGTGCTCACCTGCACTGCTTTCCTCCCTCTTCGGAAGGGAGATGCTACTCTACCTTACCAGATGGAGACTGAAAAGATGGGAAATGAAGTGGGTGTTTTGGAGACAGGGGAGCAGAAATCCTCCGTGCCTGCTCTTTGCGGCCCCTCCCCACTGCCTCTTTCCTCATGGATACCCCGACTGTCAGTGTCTGCATAAGCAGCCAGCTGTGGAAAAACATAGTTCCTTCCTTCTTCTGCAATAACCCCGGGACTGTATTTAGCCTAATCGACGCGGTCACGTCGCCACGGACTCTAATGTGTTTGTTAGGTGTAGGGGGCCGTTAGTGGGAAGAATGGGGCAGGTGGAGTGCGCAGCCTGTGTGACACATACACACTCGTCTCGTGTGTGCCGCAAGTCCGGCCTCCCCGTGAAGTGTGAAGTCCATGATAGCTCTTTACAGGGACCACGGTCACTGGACCGCGCTGCGATTTTTATTTTATTATTTATTTATTTGTTTGTTTATTTATTTATTTATAAAGATTTATTTATTTGTGCATACAGAATTGAGGTATAGGCCAGAGGCTCAGGGGCGGCGAGAGGCTTCACCAGAGACAGAGTGAGGAGCAGAACAGGCAGATTGACGAAGTACACTGCTGAGGGGAGCAGCGGGCGGGTCAGGAGAGGTCTGCCGCGCCATGTGGATCTCCTCCGGGGCTGGCGGGGATCGAACTCATGCGGAAGTGGCTTTAGCTTCCTAGTGCTGTGCTCTAACCCGCTGCGCCACCAGGGAGGGCCTTGCCGCGATTTTTAAGGAAAGCCTTACTTGGCCCTCCAGGGGAGAGTGCTTTGCACCGGCTATGTTGGCTGTTCTCTGAGAAGCAGATGCC